GCGAAAACCATTATTTCCTCTAATTTCATTTTGCAGGATTAGACGCCCAAAAGCTCAATAAAACGGTACATTCTACTGAAAAGCTTGGCAAAATTTGCCCTTTGCAAATGAAGAGAAGTAATATTGGATTTCGGAAGTCGGAAATGAAAGCTTTAATAATTTCCCGATAAATATTCGAATATATTTTTTGCAGTGAAACTTCTTAGGCGGCGTTCTGATATTTTAACGACAATGGAGAGTGATTTGAAAAACGCGTCACGGGGAAATTTCGTTACTCGAGAGAGAAGAAAGATATAACGTAAAGAGACGGAGAGGGACAGCTATTGATTGACACAAACCAAGGACTATAAACACAAAAAGAATTGCCTATTATTGACAAGCGCCGAAATTGAAACAAACCAAGGATTATTACCCTAAAAAGGATTGCCTGTTATTGACAAGCGCTATTGTGACGTCACTATAGATGTGCGAGTTATATTATAAAACCCTATGTTATTATTATATCTACTAATAATTCCCCTTTTCAATGTTAAATATAAGCGTACGCTACTGTAAATGCTCACGATATTATAAAGATGCTGAGTAAGCGGTACTGCCTGGTAAAGTACCGTCATATCAAGGTTTCGCAACCGTCAGCAGTATTTTAATATAAATACGGCGCGCAGAGCCTTCTTTCATCATTGATTTGTATTATAGCCTAGACTATAGCAATTTAGAATCAGGATTCTTTTGTTATCAGCTTTTCGCCGCAGCAATTAGAGTCTAGTATTTCGTGTTGTAACTTCTTAGTTTTTTAAAAAATAAATAGTTTTTTAAAACAAGATTTACTGAACGAAATATATTATTGGCGCAGTTCGGACCGGATGTTCTTAAGAAAGTTTAGTCCAGTTCGTTCCACTTTTTGAAAAAAATTAACTGAAGAAAAGAAGCAACAAGACCCGTACAAAATTAAAGTGATACAGTTTCAAGCATCGTGCCTTGCAAGTAATCCCTTTTTCCTAAAAATTGTATTTTGCAATTGGTGTTTCATAATTAAGTTCTTTTAAATAATTCTTTTTTTTTTAGTTTTTTTATTAATAATTCAATTTGTTTTGGCATTGAGACCAAATACAAATAAAATAATTTTAAGAAAGTAACCTACGAGGCTGAATAATTAATTTAAAACTTTAATTTTCTATTTTCAAAGAAAAAAAAATGAAATTTCCAATTTTTTATTTTCAAGTGACTGAATAATTAATCTAAAACTTTAATTTTTAATTTTTGAAGAAAAAAATAAATTTCTAATTTTCAATTTTTAATTTTAATTTTAGAAAGACTAAATTAAACTTTGATCAAGAATTACTTCTGATAACGGAACTGAATTTAAAAATGCAATTTTAACAGATTTATGTACTTTACATAAAATCGAATTCCATTCATACGACATCCTCGAAATTCTAATTCGAATAGTCCAATAGAGAGATTACATTCTACCTTGAGAGAAAGTTTAACAAGCTTGAAATTACAAAGCCCTAATAAAAACATTAATGACCCAATGGTATTTGAAATCTTGAACGATAATAACAGCATACATAGTGTTACAGGTTATATACCTTTTCAAATAATTAAAGGCGATTTAAATTATTCAATACCTATTGAAAATTCACAAAATAAGATAACCACAGATTATATCAATAATCTTGCCGAATCATTGGAAGCTCTAAATAATGTAATTCATGACAAATTCATTTCAAAACAAACAAAAAATTTAGAAAAAAAAATAATAAAGAACGTGAAAAAGAACCTGAATTAAAGGTTCCTATTTTCATTAAGCAATTTGACAGTAATAAAATTAATCCTCGTTATGGTAGTAAAACACAAGTCAAATTTAGTAAACAAATGGTAAAGCGACAACATTTTGTTTCAGAAAAACAAAAATTTTCCCGGCAGCTTTCATCATCCTCCTCATAGGAATTTCCAGTAACGCCTACACGGCAACTCCATTAAGAAATCCTATTTTACCGATTTCTATAGGAATCACTCACATCACAACACAACATAACACTGCATGTTATCACATTAATACCACCCTTATTGGAAAAAGTATTAAGACTCTAGAAATAACTTTGAAGAATTTAAACAATACTTAAATGTAACCAAATCGTGTAATAAAGATGAAATTGTCACTTTATCACAAGTTAATATTGAAATTAGTCAATCACGTATCAATACATTAAAGTTTGTGGAACAATTCTCACATGATCGAATTAAATGTGGAGTATTCAATTTCATAGGTACAGCACAAAAATGGATTTATGGTACAGACGCAAATGACGGCGATAGATATAATTCTTACATTCAAACATTGAATAAGAATCAGCAAATTATCGATAAAAATTTAAAGGATCAGTCAAACGTACTTGAAAAAGTTACGAAAACATTCCATGATCAATTTTCTAATATCGAAAATAATCAGATAATAATTGCCGATAAGATAAGAAATATTTCGACGGATAATCAAAATATTCAAACTATCTTAATAATGAATCTAATTTCAGAAAACGTTATTATGCACAGTAGTAGACTACGCGAGTTAATTAACCACATTTAATACATTACTGCAGCATAATGAATTGAACTTGATCTTGGAAAGTATACCTACCAGTCAACAAATACCGTTTGACAACGTGAGTAAATACTATGAGACAATGTTCTTTCATGTAATAATTCAAAAGGAACCAATTATTTTCACTATATTCACACCAATAATTAATCCTAAACCTTTTATATTGTAGAAATTATTTCCTATACCCATCCAAAATTATAAAATAAGTGTTAAGTATCCTTACGTTTTACCTACCACAGACAAGTATTACAATGCTTTACAAACATGTCTAAATATTGAAGACATTTATTTATGCAAAATGTAACTATTGAAACAAGATGAGCCCTGTGTTCACGACATTGTATCTAGTGAACGACAATTATGCCCATCTACGAAAATTCAATATGAAGAATCGACAGTTGAAGAGATACCCAATAATCAAGTATTGGTTATTCCAAAACGACATGTGACAGCAATGCTGCAATGTGACCAGAAGAAATACATAGAAATCATTTCCAGTCCAATCGTAATTTCCATAGGTAAATGTTCAATAACAATTAACAATCGAAAATTTTTGGAAGACACTAAAAAAAACTAAAATTGAGGTACAGATTGAATTGCCCAACATTGTTAGTCAATCCCAATTTGCAAGCACTTAAGAAGGGAGAAGTTATATTATAAATCTCTTTGTTATTATCATATACATAATTCTCCTTTCCAATGTTGAATATAAGCGTACGCCTCTGTAAAAGCTCACAATATTATAAAGATGCTGAGTAAGCTGTACTGCACTGGAAAAGTACCATCATATCAAGGTTTCGCCCTCATGATTGCACCGTCAGCGATATTTTATTATAAATACGGCGTGCAGAGTCTTCTCTCCTCATTCTATTATTTTTAACTTAGACTACAGTAATTAAAATCAAGATTCTTTTGTTATCGGCTTTTTGACGCAACAATTAGAGTCTAGTATTTTTTGTTGTAACTTCTCAGTTTTTAATAAAATAAATAATTTTTTAAAAACAAGATTCACTGAACGAAAAATATAATTACTGCGATATGAAACCGTATTTGTTATTGGCATGTTATACATATGATAACAGCAAATATTGATGTGGCAGAGGGCTTGGCAAACGGTGCAGTGGGCAAATTAGTGCATCTCGATTTTGACGATAATGGAAAAGTCGGCATTGCATGGCTCGATTTTCCGGATTTGTCTAACACTGGTGAAAAAATTAGAAAGAAAGTTGCTGATCATGTTGCTGCAAATAATATTAATAAAACAGCTGTACCAATCGGAAGACTCATATCAACAATACCGCTTAACAACAATAAAACTATCAATGCAAAACGATCACATCTACCATTAGTTTGTGCTTGTGCGACGACCATTCACAAGTCTCAGGGAACCACGTATTCAGAAGTTGTTTACGAATATGATAAAAAAACATTCGCAATCATTAGTTTACGTTGCTTTATCACGTGTTACCTGTATTGAAGGATTGCGGATAATAACTAACTCCGAGCACATTCCGCCGATCTAAAAGATGCTGTCATCAAATCGAATATTTTATTGTTGTCAGAAACTTGGTTGAATAATGATGATGATGTCAGCATACCAAGTTTTAATTACGTTATTAAAATAAGCGACCTAATGTTCAAGCAGGAGGAGTGGCAATCTATCAAAACCAATATAATACTGTAAATAATGTCAGTCTCAATCATATATGTCAACAATGACACCAGTTGGCGATATTTGCATTGCAGAGTGTCAAACCCTGGAGAAAAAAAATATCGTCATCGCGGCCATCTACATAACAGTGAATCAAAATCTAGAAGATGTAATATATTTTATACACCGTTCCCTACCAAGATAAAATCCCCCTGATTCTCGAGGGAGATTTTAAAATTTTGTATCAAATGGTTTTCCACAGTTAACTTACTTTCTTCGCGAAAAATTTGATCTGCTATTAAATAACAATCCTAACGAATCAACAACGAAATCCAGTACTACAATAGATGCAATTTTTTCACGCTATCTAGAAAATATCGAATCAAGAACATTTATATCATATTTCAGCTACCACAAATCATTAATAGTAGCATTCCCAATTGACACATCAACCAATAATGAATAAACAATTTATTTTTTTCGACAAATATTGTGTACTGTGTATTTTTTTGGAAATTCTCTCTCGCACCTAGAATCATTTTCGTTAACTAGTTTTCAAGAAGTTTCACGTCTACCACGTGCACGGCGCTACACATGATTTTTTTCAAATAATTAGTTATATTTATGATTAGCCGTTGAAAAAACTAAACTTTGAATAGGTACCTGGAACTGAAAATCATTTATGAGGAAAGATAGTGATAGATAATGAAACAAAACTCATATCTTAATAATATTTATTTATTTCTTCTATTTAATTTATATGTATACAAATGGTACCTGCGCATTTTGTTTGCGTCATTTTATTATATTTCTTTTTAATTTATTTTTTGTATGATTTTGAATATAAAACTGTCTATAAATCTTGAAGAATTAGAATAACTTGACGCACAAATGCCTATTTTGTTGGCTTTATAATTGCTCCATACTATAATACAAACAAAAAGTGTAAAATTTATAAAACTTAACTGTTAACGTTTTTATTAAATCGTGATTTTCTAGCCGACAAGTAACTCTCATATACATTTACTTATTTTTCAATTTATTAGAGTCCATATACCTATACTTTTCGATATTTTTTGTTTCCTTTTGCCATGTTACAAAATAACTTTTGATTAGAAAAAACTACTAGTGGCCAGTGAAAGGTTTTCAATAAAAGCATTTTTGATTTTGAATCCATTCTAAAAAAAAATCTGTGAATCTAAGCACAATTATTAGTTTAAAGCACTTGAGATAGACGTACTATCCATCGTTGTATTATGTATGTCTGGACGAAAGAACAAGAGAGATAGATACCTACCTAGATAACGATCAAGAAATATTTTATTTGATTTTAAGATACATTGTTTTAAGAACAGAAATAAACAAAAAGAATTTTAAGGAATAAACATAATATAAGATAGATAAATAAAGTAACGAATAACTTTCGCAGTGAGAAAAAGATCAATAATAATGTAAACTTTCCACGATTATTTACCGTCAAAATAATTATTGAAATAAATGCCTCAAATCAGAATAATTTATATATAGTATGTGTCTATTAATAACGCACTCATAATTTATTCAAAAAGTAAAAAAAAAAAACATTCCTGACAAGATTTAGTACAAAAAAAAATGTTCAATGTAGAAAATGGTCATCAGTTCACCTCAATGCCATTTGGTTTAAAAAATTCACCAGCAACATTTCAAAAATCTGGATACTATAGCAAAAGTTGTCTTATTTGTAATATTTTCAAGGTTACATCTGAAAGAACTTGAATAAGTATTTGCAAAGTTATTAGATATCAATTAGATAATTCGGAATACTTACATGAAACAGTAGAATTTCTAGGACATGTGATCACATAGAAAAGAACTAAATATAAGTCGATGTCGAATTGAAAACTTTTATTTATGAAAACTCTCATTGAGAGTGACTATGACATAGAAAAGTTTTATTTGATAAAGTCAGGATTTATGAAATAATAAGTCCGGTCCTATAAAGTCGTAAGGAATTTATGGGTTTTGCCATAAAACGCAAATAAAACCATCCTATTTCTATGATGAGCAATTTTGTGGACAATAATAATTTTTAATGTGATTTGGAAGCTATTGAGATATCTAGAGCCAGAGGAGGGCCTTAGACAGTAAAACAGATTTTTTTATTTAATGTCCATTTTTCGGAAAATTTATGTTTCAAAACTTATGAAAGATACATAAATTACTATCTGTACAGTGATTTATCGTTTTGATATATACATAGGTTTTCAAGCCTCACTTCTACTCAATTATCTGTCACTTGTTGAAACCAGGATTTAATTTACCGCGGATTCTATACATATATAATAATGTTTGTGCTTTATCTACACACTCTCTTGTTCTTCCATTGACAATGAAAATTTTGAGCCAAATGCTGACAACGATAATCAAATAGAATTTACCCTGTATGTTAATGAGATGTCGAATAACTAAAAACAATTAAACTTTTCTACAAATTTTACAAATCCTAATTCTAAATTTTCATGTATACAAACTTTACATTGGAATGATGGAAATCTAGTTGATCGTCGTTGTATTATTCATGTCGGTGATAAAATGAGGATGGCCAGAGCGTTCGGTAGACTCACCGCCCTGGATGGAAAAATGGCGATAAGACATGTATTCCGGAGGTACGGTCGGCTGGTCTCGTTTCAAGTTACGTCGTTGCTTTTTGATCTGCAACAAAGAGACAAAATATTGGAATATTTTTCCTAATAATTTCAAATTTTTATAAACGGCAATTTTTATCAATTCATGTTTTTTTTTTCCGATGAAAATTGTGTTTTTCCCTTTTACTGATCGTTGATCTTGAGAACAAGTGGTGTCAGTGCACATGCAATTGAAGCCATTTTTGAAATATCAAATTGACCCAAAATTCTCGTTAGGAAAACAACATTATGCTGGATTGAATAAATTTGAATATACTCTGAACCAGTAATTGTATTCTAATTTAATCAATCGTCCGGTAAGGTCAGACCATCAGGTAAACTTTATCGAGTTGAGGCACGTGTGCCCTTCTTTATTGCCTTTAAAAATCATCTTTATTTTGTCAGTTAGTTTTTCATTAACACAAATTACCGGTCCTAGTTTCGGCAAACCTAATCATAAAGCTTTGAGACTTTTCCACCAATGGCTGCAGATCCTGGGCCTCTTTTTATTTTAAATTCATTAGTCCCTTGGGCGGTGAATTTGCTTTTTCTTTGGCAGTTGCTCGTCATTGTCCAACAGTGTTAGTGATTGCATTAAAAAATTTGCGTGTGTATGTTCCACTCTGCTGTTCGATGCAAATAGAAGTTTATTGAAATTTAGTCCAGGACTTTTGATGAAAAATCATTGTATATGTTAACATTTTATCTTATCTTATCTTTGCAATTTGTACTTAAATTAATTAAGCATGCAGTAGCTCTTTCTAAGGTCGTTGAAAGACTGCTTGAGTGCCAAGTGAGGGAATACTTCGTCCATCATCAAATCTTGCCCTCTGCCCAATCTGGATTCCAACCTCACCTGGAGCTTTCCAGTTTGCTAGTGTTGTTGTATTCATGGGATTTTTTCTCGCCCTCTGCTCTTGTGTGCGTATCCAAGGTGCGTGTTCGTTGTGGCTTATTTTGTTCGACCAGATTCCTTTCCAGAAGTTTGTGGAAGGTGCTCCTTTCACCTCCAGTTTCTTGTCTAATGATCTGTAAAATTGCCTTTTGCTATTTGTAAATTGGTTGTTCTGCACCTCTGATAACTTTCTCGATATCTTCGGAGTCTTTTTGAAAGTGCTGCCAGTTTTTGTTCAGGTGTGTCTAGGTAGTCGACGAGAATAGCTTGGTTCTCCTGTATTGTATTGCCATCTAGCCGCTCAGTGAGTTCAGCTGGTTGCTTCCTTTCTATGCTCTTGCCTGGCGTACCATTGACCATTTGCTGGACTCTACCAATATCCTTTCTAAGGTTGTCAATGTTCTCACTTTTTCTTTTCTCCCATGCTGAATGCGCTGTTTTTGGAGAGGTTTGGTTTCTGGGTTTGGCTTGGTTTGGATTGTTTGCAGCTACCGAGGCAAGAGCTGCACAATAGATGTGGAGGTGGAGTGCTTGTAGGTCATCAACTCAAGGCATGATTTGTTTAAAGTGCGAGTTGGCAGTTGACAGAATTTTGTAGTAAGCAGGGCTGTAGCGAAGCTTTGGGATATTTGGTCTTAGGAATTGATCTGTACCGATGTATTTCACAAGATTAGCGGGAAATTCGTTTCTCTATCTGATCTCAAGTTCGATGGATTATCAGTGTTCGGTGTCGCAGTCGGTTGTTCGTCCCTGATTTTGGTTCTTTCAACAGGTTCATGTGGCAGTTGTTAAGGTTTTTGCTCAGTGGCCTGTTTATCTTGTCCCGCGAGTTGTGGATTAGCGGTCTGCTCTAATAGGTATCTGACACTTTCTCTAATCTGATCTATGGTGGCCGCTGGCAGAAGGTTTCTCCGTATAATGGCTCTTCTCTGGTCCGCAAGTGTTGGAGTTCCCTTCGATACCCGCTACATATTTGGCGTCCCAACGTGTGCCTGAGGTTTTGTAGTGAACCACCACCCCAATGACTTTCTGGACTAATTTTGTGACTGTAGATCAATGAACTATAGAACGCAAGACATTATCAGTATGTAAATGTGCATTAATTGACTGAATTGTGTAAGTTTTGCCACATTCGGATATTGTACCCACAATTTCTGGAATATTCCATATAAACCGATATAACAGTTTCCTGTGTGTTCAAGTTTGTTCTTCATTTTTGTGCTGACATTACAGTTTCCTGTGTGTCCAAGTTTGTCCTCCATTTTGTACCCACATTACAGTTTCCTGTGTGTCCATCCAAGTTTGTTCAAAGGGTTCCTACATTACAGTCGTCTGTTTGTCAGGATTTACCCGAGTTTGCTGTTTCTCAACACTACATTTCCATCACTTAGCTTACTCCAAGCTGGATTTTCCTGTATATGCCTTATAATCTTCGATCTTCCCAAAAAAATCAAGACAAAATGGGTGACCCTGTTGTTCTGATGAATGAACAATTACAAACATTACTCGCTGGTATGAGAGATATGTTTCAGAATACGCCACAATCTACTTCGAACCAAAGTACAGCTGCCAATTTTTCTAAATACGGCTCAAGGTATTCTCGAAAGCCAGACGAAGATGCTGAAGCTTTTATTGATGCCATCACTATTTACAAAGGCTCTCTGAACATCAGTGACGATAAAGCTGTAAAAGGTTTACCCATGCTACTGGATGGCGCTGCTGCAGTATGGTGGCAAGGCACCAAAAAGGCAAACATCTTATGGACTGAAGTTTTAGATGCGCTACGTCATGCTTTTGGCTTTAACAAACCAGCACATCAGATTTATAAGAGAACTGTTTTCTCAAGAACAAGGCAGTACGGAACCAACGGATCTTTTCGTGAATCAAGCCCGTGCACTGCTTTCAAAGTTGACAATAATCACGCTCTTGCCAGAGGAGCACAAGTTAGAAATGGTTTATGGACTCCTCCACTATAGAATCAGGGAAAAACTTTCTCGACATAGTTTCCAGAACTTTTCGGAGCTGATCGACAAATGCAGAGCAATCGAATCCAGCCTTGCTGAATCCAACGTAAAAGTGACATCCACGTCCGTTGCAGAAAAGCCCAAAGACCGGTGTGCATTTTGCAAAGCATATGGACATGTTCAAGCTGTTTGCAGAAAATTTAAAGCCAAGTCTGCTGAAAAAACCTCGTCCACTACTTCTGCCCTAACAGTCCGATCCAGTAACCCGTCCTCCACAAATGTAACATGTTATGGTTGCGGAATCCAGGATATATTCGTTCCAATTGTCTTCAATGTAAACCTGCATCAACAGCCATTTCCTCTGTTGAAATGCTCGCCGCTGATCTCGGTGAACCTTCCAGTTTGTTATCAACATTTGATGGTTCGCCTTTAAGACCCATGATACCTGTCATCATTCAAAGTAAATCAGGTTTTGCTTTTGTGGATTCCGGAGCAAGATGCAGTATTGCAGGTTCAAAGTTTTTGAGCCACTTAGATGCTATTCGGCATCCATTCAAAACTGCTCCAATAAAACTAGTATTTGTTGATGGTATACGCCGAGAAGTTGAAGCAAAGATGTACCAGTGTTCCATCGAAGTTATGAATAAACAACGAAAACTGCAAATGATTGCTGTTTCAGACTACAAAGATAGTAAGACTTTACTTGGTTTTGATTTCAGATCACAATTTGATAGAGTGCTCAATATACCTAAGACTATTTCAATGATGATCCAAGCAATTCCTTGCCATTACAAGATGAAGTTATTGATTCCAACGCAGTTTTGTCTGTTGTTGACGGGAATGATTTGTCATTGCCGACTCTTTCCAATATTGAAGAACGGACATTGAAATCGCCGTTGGAACATACAGGAGTTACCCCATATGCTGAGCATACCATCATCCTCACTGATGATATTCCCATAGCTGCACCACCATATCGCTTATCTCCTGCGAAGAAAGAAGTTTTGCGTCAGGAGCTTGACAAACTTCTTTCCAGCGATATCATTGAAGAAAGCGAATCGCCGTATGCATTTCCAGTCGTCATCCTTGTACCGAAGAAAGACGGAACTTCACGTATTTGTGTTAATTATCGCCGACTGAATGCTGTCAGCAAAAATGTTCGTTACCCGTTGCCTCGTATAAATGAGATCATCCATTCAACTGGAAAAGCTAACTACATAACCACCTTAGACCTGAAGAGTGGTTATTATCAAGTACCTGTCAGAGAAGAAGATCGTAATAAACCCGCCTTTGTCACGCCATTTGAACATTATCGATATAAGACGATGCCTTGTGGTCTATCCACAGCTCCAGTAACGTTTCAAAAGCTAATAAACCGTTTTTGTTCAGGTTTGCCGCATATCCAGATGTTAGGATATCTTGATGACTTAATAATTTAATCCGAGACTTTTGAACAACACATCAAAGACTTGAGTGATGTTTTCAACCGTCTACAACAAGTTGAAGGTGAACAAGAAGAAATGCACTTTCTGTACTTCAGAAGTTAAATATGTTGGTCATATTATTGGACGAGATGGTTTCAAAGCCAATCCGGAAAAGGCTGCCGCTATCACCCATCTTGCCGCACCCAAGAACGTGAAACAAGTTCTCAGTTTTCTTCAGACTTGTTCATGGTTCCGTAAATTCAGTCCAAACTTTGCCAATGTCTCTAGACCGCTAAGTAACTTGACAAGAGAGAATGTTTCGTGGTCGTGGGATTGGGCACAACAAGAATCGTTCGAGAAGCTCAAAGTTCTCCTGACTACAGCACCTATTCTGCGTCAAGCCGATGCTTCTAAGCATGTTTGCTCCAGGAAGAGGGACCCGACGAAAGACCGGTAGAATACGCAAGTCGTTTACTTACTGCGACCGAGAAGACCTATAGCTGTATTGATCGGGAAGCCCTTGCACTTGTCTACGTAGTCAACAAAATTCGCGGATACATAGAAGGTTTACCAGTTTATGTCAAAACTGATCATCAACCTCTCCGGTGGCTTATGACATTAAAATCACCAACTGGTAAATTGGCCAGGTGGGCACTTCAACTGCAAGCTTTCGACCTCAAGATTGACTACATATCAGGACGTACCAATGTCATCGCAGATACATTATCAAGACCACCCATTGACTCGGATAATAATGACCAGTCACTTATAGCTGTCGACACAGTTACTATTTTGCTACCTAATAAGTCGGCTGCAGAGACCAGAACCCAGCAGTTAGATGATCCATACACTAGGAGCATTATCGACTGTTTCGAGAATGCTGATTCTGATACTATCGACTTTGCCAGATGCACCAATCAAGGCTACCTTATGGTTCAGGGGATCTTACACCATTACGCCAGTGACTCCGATTCTGACGAAGCCCAATTAGTTGTTCCTCAAGATCGAGTAGGGTCTATACTCCATGAGTTCCATGATTCTCCACTTGCAGGACACTACGGCGTCGACAAAACTTTGAAACGAATCTCACAAAGATTTTACTGGCCGACGATGAGAAAAGACATAGAATGTCAGAGATACAAACCAACGAATCTTAAGCCTTCTGGTTTGACTCAGACTCCTGTTCTGGCTCAGCGATTTGAAACCTTACCTATGGATTTATTTGGACCACTGCCTGAAGCAGAAACAGGTGAAAGGTGGGTTTTCGCTATAGAAGATACTGCCACCAAATGGATAGAGTTATTCGCACTGGAAAATGCTACAGCTGAAGCTTGTGCGGCATTTTATCGATGAAGTTTTTCTCAGATATGGAGCTCCCAGAAAGGTCATCAGTGACAATGGCACGCAGTTTGTCACCGGTGTCATGCAACAAGTTGCTCACTGCCTCAGTTTTACCCAAAATCTCATACCGTTGTATCATCCAGCTTCCAATCCTGAAGAGAGAAGAGAGAGATCTGAAGACTCATTTAGCAATACTTGTGGAAAAGGATCATACGAAATGGAAAGAAGCCTTGCCTTCTGTGAGATTTGCGATGAACTCTGCCAACAACCTATCTACTGGTTACAGCCCTGCCTATTTATCTTTTGCCCGTCAACTGAGAACCCCGCATGATGTCGAACGTGATCTACGAGCTATCGTTAATAGCGAGAACTTTATTCCTGAGATCACCCCAAAATTGAAGATTGTTGCTAATGTCCTGTCCAACGTTAGAGAGACAAATGAACTGAGAAAGAATGCGTCCAAAATGTATGCTGACAAACATCGACGCAATGAACCATTCACTATAGGAGAAAGGACTTTGGTCAACTCGCATGTGTTGAGCAAAGGATCGCAGTCTTACACATCCAAGTTCGCCCCTAGAAGAGATGGCCCCTATACAATCCTGAAGATTTTATATTAACTGTTATTGAACAAATGGACCTTCAATTTTAATTGCCACCCAAGTTTCAAATGATTCGCACGGAATCATTTTATCGAAACTTTTACTAACGGTTCTTTATTTTTCGTTACCATAAGGCAACGTCCCAATTACCCAGCGATTTTTCTGTTTTTCTGTTGGAACAATGTTTTAAACTAAAACAAAAATTCAAAACAATTGTTTTGTTCACATTTTGTAATTTTTTATGTACGTACCTATATGCAAGGTTCGTGCCTACTGTAATTTCTTTTAATCTTTGGTTTTTGTGTGGTGTTTTTCAGAAAGGGTGGATTTTCTTAAAGATTCATGAGTGTCGGCTTTGTTGGCCCGGCTTTATCAGTATATTTTCTAAGCATAATTAAGCTAAATTAAGTTCAAGGTTTTATCTTTATCATCAATGATTTAGCCTCCTCCACACTACTTTTATTAATCCTGTTGAGATTCGTTAAAATATCTTCTTTTGCGACAGCCACATTTAGTTCAACTTTATTTTAGAATAAATCCTTTACACTGGACCCAGTACTGAGTAATCAAAAAGCCATTTTATGTAATGAAGTTAATTCAAGTAAATGGTAGAATAAACTGTTGAGCCAGATTTGACTAAATATCTCTTTTATATAAAGTTTGTTCTGTCTTTTCATTTAGAATAAATACCTTACATTGCACACTTCATTGAAAAGCGGAGGATGCTTTTTTTGTAATAGAGTTTATTCCAGTAAATGGTAAAATTTGCTGTATAGTCAGATTTCTTAATTTGCTCTGCTTTTGCAGTTTATTCACTTCCTTTGTTTGTGCATTTTGAATATTACCTAATTGAGTAAATTTTCTAAACTTTAGTCTGCTGATTTTCTTGTTTAAGCCAAAATAGGAAGTTATATTCAAGCAAACTAAAACTTTTGCTTCTTGCATAACAACCTAATTGTATGTAGGAAGTTAACTTAGATAATTTTTAAATTAAAATTATTAGGTATTGTTTGTTATGAATTTTTATTTTGAAATTAGACTATTGGCCTCTTCATTAAACCTTGTTTAGGCCTGGCGTAAAAATATAACAATTTCAAAAAAAAAAAGAATTGACACCTATTGCCACTTATCTCTTGTATTCTCAACAGCAAAAATGATAAAAAATTTAATTTACAAATTAAATTCATTTCAGTATGAATCGGGTCATGATAAAATTAACACACCGTAATATTTCAGAGGGCAATAATATAAATAATTGAACTTTAATCTGTATGTCGAGCAACAGTAAAATTACCGCCGCGTCTAGTGAAATTGAAACTAATCTCAAAACAACTAGAGGGAAAATTGCAATTTCGGCTACAACACAAACTAGGAGTACTTTATAGAGGACATTATGTTAGCAACTTAAGATACCTACACCGTAGAAATTATGGAGAATTCCAAACTGGCATCAGAGTCAACTTGTTAAGTAGTTTACTTCTTGAATATACATTATACCTAACACTTTCTTTGACAAAAATTAATAATTACTGTTTGACCTATTTTATTTAAACAATCAAACATACCTTTAGATATCCTAGAATCGAGATCAGAAAAATAAAAACCACGAATCCCAAACAGCATCCGACGATTAAACCCAATCTTCGCGTTAAGATGGATTGGACCCCCATGGAATGATCTTGCAAGATGTCGAGGTCTGGAGCTCCCAATGTCAGAACCTGAAACAGAAAATAATTTCCTTTATCTTATTGATTGATAGCTTATTAATTTTGGTGCGAAATAGATTGCATTATCGTCATTAAACACTGAAACCCAACAAATTACCTCCGTACATCTACTTGTGGCGGAATCGACCAGGAGCGGTAAAACATCGTCTTGAAGGGCTTCGAAGTCCTCTGGAATAGTATCGTTTCTAAACGGGACAGTTTTTCTCATCATCAGTCGAGACCCTGATGTTGGTTTGAGACGCGAAGACACCCAATTGCCTAATGCCAGCACGCAAATTCGATATCTGATGCCGGGATAGAGATGGGTTAATTTTAGCGAACGAGCTGATTGATCCAGAATTTTTCCTTTTATCTGGAAAAAATATTCTTCAGTCAAAAAAAATAAATTTATATAACTGAACTATTACCTCCTCGGTGGTTTCAGAAGAATAATAAGCGACTTGATATCCATGAAGTCCCGAATGATTTCTGCTCTGCCACGATACTATAACTGAAAACGGTTGGATATCTTGGATTCCCAATTTGATTACCATGGGCTGATCGCAAAATTGTTCGGGGTCTAATTCTATAAATACTTTGCCCCTCAACTTTTCTGGATGTTCGCACTTTATTTGTTTATTTTCTGGATGTTGCATTTGCTTTCTGTGATCTTTGTACCATTCCCATAGTTCTTCTGAGTCGCAGGCACAAACCAAAGGGTTATCTGCAATAAATAATGTAATGTTATCAAGAGGTGACAAATAACATAATACGTAGTTACTAGTTGAAATAAGTTTGATTCAAATAAATAGTGTTAATACTTCCATTCAAAAATTTAATTCAATGAATTCAAATTATAGCAGCGTATTCGGGCCCTAACAAAATTATATAAAAAAAATTGGAGCCGATGCAATATCGAGTTCCATAGCAAGGTAGAAAACGTTTTATTTCTGTCGGAACAGCGCCATGGTCAGCAACAACTCGAGAGAAATTAAATTTTTCAGCGTTCATGAATAGCGCTAAATCAAGCATACTTCATAAAAACTAGTAACAGCATTTAAAATTGGAAAATATCGAATCCCAGCGACGCGTAGTAGAATAATAGCTACGTATAGTTTTTATTCCATTTCGTTATTTATGATCTTTGAGGGTGAAGAAAACCACCTATTTAAAATATTATTTCTTCAAATTTTAATTTTTTTTAAAACGTTTAGTGAAGAAATGCAAATGGTAAATGTTGCAACCATGTATGCGCTGGCAAGTAGGGACGAGCGTAGACGCACCACACAAAAAAGTACCGAAGGGTTGAGAAGAGAATGGAAGACTAGAGAAGAAGTCTCTTTTAGACTGCTGGTCCGCCATTGTTCATTATTCAATTTTTATTTTGTATTAAACTGATTGTTAAAACTAATTTGTGTGTCATCAGGAGCATTCACAGGTCATTTGATTAAATGTTACTTGTTTTTGAGAGTTCAATTTATATAAGTATTTATTTTTTTAATTTGTTTGTTTTTTTTTTTGTTTGTTTATAACAATTTATGTGCATTGTTCATGTATTTAACAAAAATCGTTTCATGCTGTTTACAACACAGATAAACAGTAAATTAAAACCTAGAAAAATTATGTGCTGTCTTTTGTGCTGGGATTCCAATGTTTGGATTCCGAGCGTGCATTAAGGCCTTGTTGAATTTACTAACATTTTCCTACTCTGATGAGAGAATATCCTAGCCAATTGAGAAAAATCAATCTAGAGATATTGGCTCAAAAACAACTATAGCTGTGAGTTATCGTAACCAGGGACCTCAGTACCTGCCACAGATGGGCTAACTAACCACAAACTCTTCAGTATTAAATATAGGTAGTGTTGATTGTATGTGTTGTGTGTAATTGAGATTTTAGCACAAGAACAGAGACGGTACTTAATTCAAACTTTTATTGACTTAAATTATTGAATTAATGATTTACACTCACAATTATTATAAAAATGACACAGTATGTTTTTGATTTTTGAGGAATGTTCGATCGAGGGTTTCTCTGCCGTTCTCTTTCCCCTCCAGGATTCCAGGTCGAGAACGGTACGATTTACTTTAATAATAAAGTAGACGTTTCACAAATTTTTCATTTCTTCTACATATCACAACTTTCACAAATGTCGGGCGCATGTCCAGTAAGTAAAATTGAGTAAGATATCACAACGTAGGTTCTATTTCTTTCTCATTCCATTTTTCAGAAGGTTTGTTAAAGGAGAGATAATAAAAATTCACACCGTTCAATCTTACTGAACCAACTATGTTACACTACAAGGGTATTAAAATCTAATGTAAGGTAGGTATTCGCCAGTGGAGTTAGGCAGAATTATCTGTGGTCGTTTATTCTGTATTCACGTATCGCTTTTACTTCTTCACAAACTGAATCTGTAATTCGAATCGACCCGGAAAGATTTGGGGTGCGTTTCAAGGTGGCGGATAAAAGGACGGCCAGGTTGCTTCGGTGATTGGGTGGTCATGAATAGGATGCCAGGAAGTAAAACAATTCTGAGCCTTTGCGAAAGCCCTCGCCGCGGAGTATTTCCTCAAACTAAAGTCTAAGGCAATACGCCGAGAGCTGAAAGGCCGTTGAGTTGGTACGGTATCTAACGTTCCTCGAGGGGCAGCAGGCCATACCCCCTTATATTCAGCCTTATCTGCGTATGCTCAGGTGGACGGTTTCAATCCCTAGCTACTCATGTGATCGAAATAGAAAAATGTTCAATGAAAAAACCCTTGAAAGGCAGAAGGTCAATAGGCTTCAGGAGGTTGACTCGACGACGGAGCAGGCAGCAAAAAAGTCATCATAGAGGACAACTTCACCAGGACGGCCGAAAAGAAAGGAAGGTAAGGGAAAGGCTGCGAAGCCAGAAGTCTCAGAAACGCCCGATTTCGGTGGGCAGTACACTGGAAAAAGAAGGCTGAGACCGAATCCCACAAACCAGCCGGACAGGCATAGGAGGGAGAAATCACCTTGACTCTTGACACCTTCAAGGAGGCACTAACTGCTGTGAAAATCACACTGGTAGCAGCCAAGAGCCAGAAAAATTAAAGGCCATCCAAAAATAACTGATAGGGAAGTACGAGGACGTCCCAGCAGAAGGACCATAAGTGCGAATTCACAAATGCACACACAGGTCGGGACACGTCATTTTTACTTGTGTAGGTAGACGCTGTGAGCGCCCAATGGCTTAAGGAAGCAGTTCCATCACTAACGCCATTGGAAGGAGCAGTGTTAAAGGTGCTGGAAGGAGATGAGATCCCAACGCCCTATGCTTGCACAATGTTTGTCAACGAAGATGGGAAGGCAGTAACCGAGGAAAGGATCCTAAAATGCCTTCAAGTAGGCACCCATGGACGGAACACAAACTTATGGACAGTCTTGGGAAAGTTCCATACTGACAAAGGCCAGGTTTGCCATCTTTTCAATGGATAAGGGAGTCCTTTGAGGACCTAAAAAAGCAGATATTATGCTTCCCTTCTTTGGAATAGGACGAATTCAACTCCTCATTAGGAGAAGGACAATCTATATAAAAAGGGAACACATTCTCAAGAAAGCGGCACTGACAAGGACCAGTCTCAAGTCTCAAGTTTTCGATCCCTATGGAGGAAGTCATGGTCCAGGAGACAGAAGACAAGAGTGCCACCCTAACGCAGACGCCACCACAGGGATAGAGGACAATCTTAGATTCCTGCAGGCAAATCTGCAACATGCAAAGACCGCCTCGGTTGTGCTATGTCGCAGATTTGAGCAAGAAGGCCCCTCCTGAGCCTTGAATAAATAATGGGAAAATCATAGGCCTCGAGCCCTCCCAAGGTTAAGTTACTGTACGACAGATCTGCGATTAGACCTCGTGCATGGATTAAACATAATAAAAGGGTAAATTGTATATTGTTCCTGGAGCTTTGCTCAGGCGATGATGTTACAGCGATCCTAACACTATCCATAAAGAGGAAGGAAAAAACTGGATTGCATGCTCCGCCTACTTTCCTGGAGAAGAGAGAATATGTCCTCCGTAGATATCAAAGGATGATACATCTTACTACGAGGAGCAGAAGCTCCAACTAACTCATAAAGGATGCGACTCTAACGTACATCATACAATGTTGGGCCGCACGAACATCAACTCTAAGTTTTTATTACAATTCATACTTACTTAAGGGTTAAATAAAGCTAACGTAAGCGTGTCTATGTCAATCCGTCGTAAAGACAATACGTCGTAAAGTCAATTCGTCGTATACGTCAATTCGTCGTAGCGTTAATTCGTCGTATACGTCAATTCGCCGTAGCTTTAATTCGTCGCATACGTCAATTTATCGTATTTCAGGTATAATGTTAAAATGAATAAACTTGTACTTTTTCTATTTAAGCAGAGATGATCAAACTTACCGATAATAACGACGAATTACCTATTTTGTCGTATACGTCAATTCGTCGTAACGTTGATTCGATGTATACGTCAATTCGTCGTAAAGTCAATTTATCGTATTCGTCAAATTGTCGTAGAATAACGTACGACAATATAGGTAATTCGTCGTCTTTATCGGTAAGTTTTATAATGTCTGATTAAACAGTAAACGTGAAAATTTATACATTTTAACATTGTACCTGGAATACGACGAATTAACAATACGGCGAATCGACGTTTACGACGATTTAACGTGTTAATAAGTTGCAATTTTATTCAGACATCAAACTTACCAATAATAACCTGGTTAGTTTGGGTTAGTATGCAATGTATTGTCTGATTGAAATTGTAAATTTACTGGGTTATTATCGGTAAGTTTGGTAATGTCTGAAATAACGACAAAGTGTAAATTTATACATTTCGATATTTCAACATTATACCTGAAATACGACGAATTTGACGTATACGAGGAATTACCCATACGACGAATTGACGTATACGACGAAATAATGTTACGACGAATTGACGTATACGACGAAATAATGTTACGACGAATTGACGTATACGGCGTATTGACTTTACGACGAATTGACGTGTACGGCGAATTGATTTTACGACGAATTGACGGTAACCCAACTGCCAATTCCTCGATGTAACGCTTAGTTCTAATAGATACAATTCATAACTGGAAAGTGTCAGATGAACCATCGTGTTCTGACCACAGGAATATCAGGTTTGACATTAAAATTCCCATCCTCACCGAGATAAATATTTAGAAATTCACGAGGCATAAACTGGGAAGGATACCTAGGATCCCTCGCAGAAAGTGTCCGAAGAAGTTAACAGTGGGGACGTAGGAAACGTTGAAGAATTAACACAGCTGATAAGCGAAGCCATCACACGTTATGATACAAATTGTCTGGAGAAAAAATCGGAACAGAATGGAAATTCAGTCTGGTGGAACGGTAAACTTGGGGCAACTAAAAGAAACCGTGAGAAGGCTATTCAATAAAGCCAAAGCCAAGAATGACTGGGACCTCTATAGGTCAAAACTAACAGAGTATAAAAAGAGATACGAAAAGCTAAAAGGGAGTCGTGGAAGAGGTTCTGCGAAAGGTTAAACGAGATCCCTGCATGCTCGAAAATCCACAAGGTTCGATCTAAGCAAACTATGTCGAATTTCTCAAAACGGAAGGCAGCTCATACACAAAGACAGCTGAGGAAACCCTATAATTGCTCATGGACGCCCACTTTCCTACAGCAACCCTAACAATTGAACCATCCGACCCTCCGCCCAAAGCAAGGGTGCAAAGACAAGGGAAAGAGGAGTGCAAACAGTTAAAGATGTAGTAACACCCAAGAAGGTCCCATCTTACCTTACCATCAATCAATTTCAACCATTGAAGTCACCAGGTCCAGACGAATAATACCCAGTACTATTGCAAAAGGGACAGGACATTATATTTGCCAAAAATAGACCTAAGTCATATAGACCGATAAGCTTATCCTCGTTCATGCTCAAAATTTTGGAGAGGCTAGGGGACAGACATATCCAGGATAATATATTGCAGCTCTTCCCTCTAAGTGAACGCCAATACGCATACCAACCAAGAAAGTCGACAGACCTAGCACTAGATGACCTAAATATGTAGCAGTTTCAATTTCTTGGCTAATATGCTACTTTGTTTTGCTCTAGTGGATATGATTCTATATAGAACTCTAAAGAAATAAATGAATAAACAACTATCTTTTCTGTGTCCAGATTTTGTTACCTTGAGTACTGCCTTCTACTGAAAGTTTTTTGGTGCAGCTTTGCAAGTTTGGTTAATTGATCTAGGAGGGTTTGATTCAGTACGACTGTTATTGATAAGAATCTTATAGAGTATCATCTTGTTCGCAAATTCAATTAATAAATAATCTGAGGTTATGATAATTGTTGTTTACTGCTCTGATTTTTCAGTTCGATCATGTCATTGAACAGCTGTTTTGTCTAGGCGTTTTCTTTAGACCTGTTCTACTTTTTGATATAGGTTCTATAAGCATTTTTCAACATTCACCAGTCATTTTTTACACAACCCACCTTCCAGTTAGTATTTTTGGGGTGAAACTGAACACGCTCTTTTTCTATAATTTTCATCAATGTCAAAATTAGAAGTTTGACAAATGGAAGCTTTCTTCCCAAATCTAAATGAAGAATATGCCCTTTTGATCTTGAGCCCTGATATTGAAAGGTCGGTCTCGGGCCTCGGCCCTAATTAATTTTGGGGCGAGACCTTTTGGAATTTTGTGCCAGGGAACTCAAGTTTTAGACTAATTTCTTGTTGATAATTGTCTAGAGTCGTCCCTTGGTTATTTTGGATTTTGTTTCGGTAAGTTTTGAGATTTTCTTCAGGAACCTATAACACGTGTTCCATTTTTTCAATAGGACTGTTCCGAGCAGCAAAATTTGGGGCTCGATCTGTTTTTCTTATACGAACATCGTTGTAGGGTCCTAGTGCTAGGTTATACTTAGAAGACTCTAGGCTATATCTAGACAGCTCCTAGGCTGTAATTAGAGAGATTTTAGACTAGATCTAGATTACTCTTGGTTGGGCTTTGGTAGCCTCCCTTCAGCAACCCTCTTGGTACCACTTTGATTGAACCACATGGAGTCCTACATTAAACAGATATAACGTGGATAGGACTCATGACTCACTTATCATCCCATAGTCTATCTACAGTGAGACCATACATGTAGATAACCTCACTTTAGGAACTTCTGGATTTGATGATAAATGACACTGGTATACATGTAAGTTGTACTTTTTACTATTTACTATGACATTTAATTACGTCAGTACGTGCCCCTTAAATAAAATTCTAGAATTTTACCCTGATGTTGCCCTAATAATAATTTTTACCTTTCTGGTGTTTAATTTGCCTGTTGGTAAGGTGTAACCCATACTGTATTTTTCTTATCACTCACAAATGTAAATACCAAACAGTTTTAGTCATGTTTACTTGAAATTCATATTTATCTATCACTATTTACATTCAGTTTTTTTTTATAATCAAATATTTATAGATTGGTACAAGCCATAATCTATACACTTTTTTAATAACGTCCTGGCTATCCCTATTTAACATTGTAATTATTTTTAATAAAGAAAGCCAGATACATTATTGTACTTAATTATTTGTTTTATTGGTAAGCTCTCCAATTGCACAGGTTTTGTTATAACATCATTGAGTAATCTTCCTAGTTAAGTCACAATTAACTTGGTGGCGCCCAAAGGTAAGATGTATACAAGGAACCCATAGACCCATGGCCTCCGAACTGATGCTGACTAGCCGTATGCAGTATAATCAGGCAATTGCCAAACAGGTGCGTTATAAATAGACTGCTCTCGAAGTCAATAGAGGAAAAGGAGATAGCTCTGACCACTTTTTTTAAAAAGGGAGATAAGGCTCAATGTGGAAACTACAGAGGAATACCTCCTGTGTGCACGACAAATGCAAGAGAAATCCAGAGAACAAAATCGCTCTCTACACATGGCCTTCATAGATTTAGTAAAAACATTTTTGATTCATTCAACAGAGAAGCTGTTTGGAAGATATTTGCACAGGTTGGGTGTCAGCAAAAGTACATCTAGATACGTCGTCTGCTGCATGATAATAGGAATGCGATTGTCCTAACCAACTGTGGACTAGGAGAGTATTCCGAAATAACTACAATCATTAAACAGGGCTGCATTATTGCACCCACTTTATTTTCTCTATGTATAGGATCTATATTTCACCGTGTCGAAGGTCACTTGCCGTCAGGGGTGGTAATTCTGTACAGACTTGATGGCAGGCAATTACCAATGCATTCAACCAGGCATACAGGAGAATCGGTCTAGAGGTCAACTTTAACAAGACGCAGATTCTGCACCAACTCACATCAGATACTAATCCCCAAGTACCAAATATAACTATAAAGGACCATTCTTTGCAGAACGTAGAACACTACCCATACCTCGAGAGTCATCTGGCAGCATTGATGCTGAAATCCAATGTCGCCTGCGGTTTGCTAACGCGGCCATCGGGCGACTACTAGAGAGTCTTCAATAATCACAACATCAGCGCTGAGACCAAACTTCGCGCTTAAAATGCAGTTGTAATAGCAACACTAACATATGCCTGTTAAACATGGACTACTTACATAAGACACATAAAAAGCCTGGAAAAGTACCGATGCCTAAGAAGGATCCCACGGATTAAATGGTAAGACCGACAAACGGACATTAGTGTTTTAGAGGAGATCAAAACAACTAACATGGAAGCACTCATCATCAAGTACCAACTTTGTTAGGTCACTTCGTCCGCATGCCCGAAACACGTCTTCCACGACAGATTCTCTATGGCCAACTGAAAGAGGAGAATCGAAATGAGGGAAGTCAACAAAAACCCTACAAAGATGTTCCTATGAAAAATATGCATCGATACCAGTAACTGGGATATGACGGCAAATTATAGGCCCTCGTGGCGTCTAGTAATCCACAACGGACCACAAACTTTCGAAGAACAGCGACGCAGACACGAGACCGAAAAGAGGGACCGTAGGAAGAAGCGAGAGAACAGAGATTGCTGCCAGAGGCTGGGTGTGCCAAGACTATGGGTGTTGGCTCCAGAATTGGTTTATATAGCTATCAGAAAACGCTCAATCGAAGATAATCATACTTGGTATCGAGTGATCGCCTAGGATGATGAAACTATCGCCTCTTTTGGTCAAATATGAACTAAGTATATAATATGTCAAATTCAAAAGTCATTTAATAACTATGATAATAAACATGGTCCTACATATTATATTAAATTTCCGAAAATTGAAAAAACTCCACCGATGTCCGATATAGGCGAAAAAAAATCGAAGCTAAAAAAGTGAGGCTCATAAACTTTTCAATAGTCAGTTTTATTGTCGCAGTCCAGTACTCATGAAAGCCTCTACAATTATTAAATTTGTATCGCTTCAATAAAAAAATGAATATGAAAAGGTAACGGCAATTTATTGAATCGAATGAAATCGTTACACTCTGAAGCATTTCAAGTTTCCAATTTCGGATTATTTACGATTTAGAATTTACATTTTGCCAATTAATATTTGAAAATTAAATATTAATGTTTAATTTTTAAAAAAAATTGAACCAAATTGTTTATGTGTATTATATGCACTTCTAATATTTGTTTTAACTAACTGTTACTCTACCTTCGGTTCGTATATTACGAATTTGGGTTTCCAAAGGCTTAAACGCTTCGAGTGGTACGTGTTCCAAAAAGTTTTTGCTGAGATCCAAAGTTCTTAGCTTATTAAGCGGTCGGAAAGCTTCAGGTGCAACGGTAGAAATCCAGTTTCCGCCCAAATATAGCTCGGCCAAGTTCGATAAGTAAATGAATGTGGTCTTCTTAATCCTGGAACATTAATTAATGAGCTTGTAGTTATTCGTTTTAATGAGTTTTTTTTTTGTAAATTTGAATCCCTACTTGACATACTTGTTAGGTACTTAAAAATTCTTTTTCTATTAATTAATTTTTAATTGAAAATGAGACACTTTTGATTTATAATTGTTACTATTGAAATATAAAAACAGTACTCAGCTTAAAAAAACATCATTTGATTCGTTTTAGTAAGTGTGAGTTAATGGAAGTCATGCAAATGTCACTTTCTAATGAACAAATTATAAAGGAAAATTATGAAAGCGAGACCCTTCTTTAGAAATACTTAATAAAATTATATCTACAAAATGTTCATTACCTAGTTATCCTATTATACGATATGTCCAAAATTTGTAACGATTTTATATTTTGTGGAAACTCATCTAACTCTTTCAAAAGGTTGTGCGTTATGTTGAGTACCCGAAGATTATTCAGTCCATACAAACGCTCCTGCGGAATAATCTGGATTTGATTCATCCCAATATCGAGCGTAATAAGATGATTCAGTGAACTAAAAGCTCCAGGAGATATTTTTAGTATTTTGTTGTAGCTTAGATAGACGTGGAGCAATGACGGGAATAATTCAAATTCTTTACTCGTAATGACGAGTAGATCACTGTATTGTAAATGCATCTGAAATAGAAATAGTAAGATAAGTACAAAATTTATTATCTAAATGTAAATGATTTAGGATGGCGAACAGGAACCGATGTTGAAAAAAATAACTTATTAAGCTAATAATCATTAAATATGTTCAAAGTTGATTTCTCCTGATCCTGAAGAATATCAACAATTAGGCACTAGCTGACGTCACACAGATAACCTTACTTTCGATGAAGGGATAAACGAAATTTTTAGGACTATTTACAGCACTGAAAACTGTGGCAGTGACGATAAAAAACTTCACTGCGCGGGACTTGTCTGAACAGGTAACAAGTTCATTTGAAAAATATCGTTTGTTTGTCCCATTGAGGTTGTCTCAATGACATGTTTGTCCCTATCAAAAATGATGTTGTGTGATTTGTACGTATTAATAGATGTTCGCAGCTTAATTTTCAAATTAATTATATTCGTATGCCTACTTGATTTTAAATTTTGGCGCCATACAATTTTAAGTTCCATGGCACGAGAAGATTCGATGCCATCCCTGAAATCAGTGCACCAACCAGTTAAGATAGAGATCCGAACTTGTCAGTTGAGCTTTGCGGAATCCTCAAAACCCATCCTTTGAAATCCAATTCAAAATCTGTTAGAAAATCAATCTCAAAGCCTAGAAGATATTTTAAGTTCCGGTACTTTTGCTCTCATTTGACAGTTGTTAAAAATAATCAGGGCTTTGAATGTGCTCTAACCACACCATACTTATAGACCTTTGGCCCATGCAAAACTTTGACGACTTATCAAATTCGTTAATGGAGAGCAAAAGTATCGGCCCTAAACCTATTTTATGTGATGTTGTTCGTCGAAAAATTGTGAGACAGCTTAGGTGCACCTGCAGGAAAAGAAAACGTCTTTGTAAGAGAACAAGTAAATGCCTCCTTTTGTTCTTGCATGGCTCGGTTTCAAATATCAAAGTTTAAATTTTTCGGCAAAAATTTAGATGGATCAACGCGTTTACAGTCCGGCGGCTCTTAATATCGAAGTTAAATCGAAATTCAACATCAAACGAACAATAGTCCTTCAAATGCTTTGTTTGTCCCCCTATTGAAAGTGAAGTTATGTGTGTGACGTCAGCTAGTGCCTAATTTGGTGTAAAGGATTTAACTTTTTCCGAAAGCCAAGTCGAAGGTTGTACACGTAGAAATACTGGCCTCATACAGAAGCACGAATATACCGACTTGGATGCGACCGGAAAAAACGATTCTGTGTTCGGAAATATTCCATCAGTTTGCTGAAAAGGAATAATCTAACCTAAGTGAATTGTAGCGAATTATCGATCGTTGTAACCTGAGATTTTTGATAGATAATCATCGAAACAATTTCTCGATTTCTAGATTTCATAGCCTTTTAGCTTGATTTTTCACTTTCAGTGCCAAGTCAAATAAATATTATTTAAATATATCAGGACAACTCTATTCTCTGTAAAAGCTATAGCATTAATTTTATTGCTTCTCTAGGTACAACTAGGATATTGTCACGGATTCCGGGTTCACTAAAAACTGACTTACTTTAGCTACTACTTCTCGCTATTTATAGCAGACAGTGTACTCGGGGTTTTATCTAGAAAAACCCAATGCACTACTTGAACAGAATTCTCCGAATTGTTCACGCGATGCGCATACAATTGCATTCTTAGAATCCAGTACGTACGCTAAAAAGGCATTTCGTGGCCATGGTATACAAATAACTATTTATTTTAGCAACATGTGTTCGGCTCACAATCTTTTTTGCATGAACATGGCAATAATTCAAGAACAGCAAAAGGTGCTGGCGCACAGATCATCCAATCGATATGTAACATTGAATTACCGTCACTGTCTGTTTGAAGTGACCATCCATGACCTTCAGGTGATGGAATGTCTGGTTGTGGATCTTGTGCCTTCTTCCATACCATTGTCTGAAAATTGGCTCCTGATAGGTGTTTATGTAGTGTCTTCTGACATGGAGTAAGATTGTGCGATTCAATGTTACCTCGCTTGCCACAGAATGAAATTTACCTACCTTACCTCGTTGACAGTTGTGATTTTGGTACTGTTGCTATAGAGCCTACATACGAATGTCTCGAAAACTATCTTTGTTTCGTCAGATACACCTACAGTTTCTCCCAGATCAGAAATGGCACTTGAAAATTCTTTCTCTGCACGGACGACCTTTAGTAGCTTTTCCTTTTCCTGCGAACGCATCCACTGTGTCGCAGCCGACGTGCAAACTTAGTAATTCTAGACAGATATCTTCGCCTATTTCTTTAAACATTTCGTTCATATTGAAGTCCAAGTTCGTTGAAGGAAGGCATGATATGTAGTGTTATAACAGCGACATCAGTATCATCATAGTGAATAATTACACCTCTAAATTCAGATTTTGCTGCATGATGTTCGTGGAACAATAAACGTGTATCTCCTTCTTCGTGAGAACACTGCAATGATGTTACTTTTTTTGCGTTACTTGGTAACAGCGGTCTTCACACGTCACAAACCTAATCTTGGACCCCAACCCAACTGGTTAGTTGATCCTAAGCTTTATGCTGTATAATACTTTTACTATTAACAAATAAACATCGACTTTAGAATGGTAAACTGCCTAGGATTTTCGCCCGGATCTCCATCTTTGTGACGTCGTAACGTAACTAAACTACTGAATTTTACAAACTATCATCGGAAATATTACTCCTAGCTTTATGCTGAATCAAAATTTGTATGATATTTTTATTTCTTACACATAAAACCAGACTTTGAAATAGGTGGTCAACTACCATTTTCGCCCGGCGGTCATCTTTGTGACGTAACGTAACTTAGCTACCGAAATTTACGATATATCATCCCAAACTTTCATTCTTCACAAATGAAACAAGACTTAAAATGGTTAATTTCGATTTTCGCCCGGCGGCCACCATTGTGACGTCATAACGTAACTGAGCTACCGAATTTTACAAAGTATTATACCAAACATTTATCCTACCTGCACGGCGAATCTAAATTTTTAGGTAACATTTGCTCCCCAGAAATGAAACCGCAAATTTTGTTACTATAATGTCTTGGGTATTCTTTTGAAAAAGTTTTTTTATATCGTTGTTTTTTTTTTTCTTTCCGAATAATGTGTCAGGAAATTGTGATGATGTTAGTAATTTAACAGAGTGAAATGTTTGTAGTATCACCAGTTTCTAAATCAAAGAACAGAGGTATAGCTCTGGACTACCTGACAACGGCCTACTGATTCAGGATGATTGTCATGTTCCCTATCAGCGATCGTGGTCTTATTTAAGTTGATACTGAGACCACATGGTGCACTATATTGTTCTATGTTGAGTAAGGTTAACCATTCACCCTGAGGACAAAAAATAAGAGTAGAATCGTCGGCAAACCTTGAATTAGATATCTTGATTCCACCAAGAGTTACACCAGTGGGCCAACGGTCCAGTACAGGGTGATCTATTATAAATGTCACCCCCTGCTAACTTTATCATTTGACGTTTTTGGCAGAAGTGTCAAATACAAAAGTTTTAAGAAATTGTCAAAAGTTGTTAACTAAATTAGTTTAAGGCATACAGGGTGCGCCAAAAAAGTGCAGCAGTGTGAACTTATATTTTTTTTTAAGTGGAACACCCTGTATATTGTGCACTTATTTGTTAGTCCCCTTTAACCTGATTTCAACGAAATACGGTTTGATATGTTAATCTCTCGATTTATCTCTAATAGTTATAGGGAAAACCGCGGAAATTCCTTCCTAGGTCTCTCATGTTATTTTTTCAAAAATAATAATAATAACTTAGACACCTGGATTTATTATAATATTTCACCTTATATATTAATGAATAAAATTTGAACAATAAACTGTTCATAAAAAAAAATCCCTAAAGCTTAAATGATATAAATATATTTTTTTTTCCATTATGAAACCTTGAAAGGAGTTTTCATGTTTTTCCCTATAAATATCAAAAATCGACATATCAAACCGTATATCGTTGAAATCAGCTTAAAAGGCACTAACAAATAAGTGCACGATATGCAGGGTGTTCCATTTAAAAAAATATACCTTCACACTGCTGCACTTTTTTGACACACTCTGTATGCCTAAACTGACTTATTCAAAAACTTTCGACAATTTATTGATTTTTTTGTATTTGGTGACATTTATAATAGATCACCCAGTACCTGTCTCATCACAAAATCGTCAATTCTTGCTCGAGCTGTGTTGAACGCAGAACTGTTATATGGAAAATATAGGGTAGTGAGGAACTCCCATGGAGAGAAGAATTTTCCATAGTTTAGATTATTCTACAGTAGTCCACAGTAGTTCACAAAGCAGATGTAGACTGGAAAGTGATGCTCTCTGGTTTTTTCTATTATTCTGCCTCAAGTGAAAAATCTGTTCGCCTGTACCACGTCCTTTTATGAAACCTGCCTGCCCTCAAGATATTTGCCATTCCACAAAACCTTTCGAACTAGACTGCAGAATATTATATCACCTTGCTTGATTGAGAGATCAATGAGAGTAGACGGTAACTGTCTCGGTTTACCAAAGAACTTTTTTTATGAAGTGGAACAAAGATTGAAGTGCTCTATTCGTCTGGCCAGATACCGGAGTACCAAATTTCCTGACAAATACCATGTGAAAAATTTAGGCTATCATCCAAGCATTTCAGAGTTTCACTTTAGCAGCTTTTAGTTTCTTGACGGAATGTTCCACTTCCAAGAAAAAAAAATCCAGCTCACGTTCGTAATTGAACAAGGGGCTTTACACCTTAATGACCTCGTCAAAGCTGGTGATGTCCATCGGCGTTCTCAACTGACCAAGTTTTGGATGGCCTGTATTAGCGTGAGCCTGGATCTCTCTGCATAATTCCTGAAAAGAGGAATTCCTATTCTGACGGCAGAGTCTATGGATTTCACGTGTTAATTGTCTATAGCGATTGTACTTTGCATCAGAATCCAAACCTGAGATCATAAACTCTCTTCATGCCTCGAGGACGGACA